ATAAAAATATTAAATAAAAAAAGTAAAAAGAGCAATAAAAAAAATATGTGTAACAAATGAATGCAATAAAAGTAGTTGGTTATCGAAGATAACAACCAATGTAGCGAGCAGTTTGAGATGCACTGTAACACACGAAAAGTAAGAAACTCGATAACAGTTGTGAAAGAAAGAAATGAAATTTAAGTAAGCAATATAAATTAACACTAGCAACAAAAACAAATTGAAAATGACTCGTCATAATAAATTTAAATTAGCCAACATAGAATTAAAGCGAATTCAATAGCTTCAATAGTACAATATAACACCGATACTTATCTTAAAAGATCAATTAATCCAAATATTTTCACAATAAAGTTTTGAATATAAGTTAAACGAATTCGACAGAACACCAAAATTCACAGCTGAACACGAGAAGGGTTGCCAAGAAATTTATTTATTTATTATTAATAATATTGTAATTTTGAATTAGAATTTTTTGTCTAATTAAACTGAAGCAAACAAATGGTATTTTTCTGAATTAAAAACCTCAAATATTTCTTTCAGAGCACCGCTAACAACAACAAGTAGAGGTGCCGGTCCGACGGGCAGCATTGCTGGTTCTTCCGAATTTAGTTTTCCGCCAAGCTATAGATCACAGAACATTACTCCAGCTATGGTATGCAGGGAACGCAGCGTACACACTGCCACATCGAACCGTTTGCTGTCCAGCGAGGACATTCCACAACAGTCCACCACGCAACAATTCGACAACAACAGATGCAATCCAACAATTTTAACCTTATCAGAACCTAACAGGAGTGTGTGTGAGGTATCCCAAAACACTGAACAGCCTACCAATTCACAAATTCGTCAGGCGTGGACCTCAGAGATTGTGGAAATAGAGGCCTCAAATAACGATGGAAGCCAAAATTATGGCAGAAATTTTCAAAAAACAAATAAAGTGGAAAATACGAACGCTGTAAGCTCAAAGGCACAGAAGGAGCAGATTACAATTATCACGATATCTAAAAGTGATGGTTCCTCGCAAAGAGACTCATGCAGTAGAGACCATATCGAGATACTGGCGCATGTGTAAAAAATTAAGCATGTTCTTGGTTAAATAAATAGTTATAAAGATTGTTGGGTAGTTTTTGAATTGCAGCATCCTTGTTGCGATTTAAGAAATTTGTAAAACATATTTTGCATTTCGAAATGATTTAACAAAAACTGTTAGTTACCTGTAATTTATATTTTCCCATACTCGTATATGTAAATACACATATGTTATTTCGTAATACTACTTGGCTACGAACAACTAACTTTCCATTTCCTTATGAAATGGTTCGTTCAAGTATTTTTATTTATTAAATATATAATATATTATATTACTAAACTTAAATTTTGTGTAATTATAAATGTTGATACTTCTATTAAATCGAAAAGCGCTACTGTTTGTGGTTCGTTCTGAAA